CCTTCAGGCAGGCACCTTCTCACCCTACCCTTCAGCCTCTTCCTCAAAAAAACTTTCCTGCAACATAATAAATACACCAGGTTCCCGGGCAGGCTATGATAGATTGGCTAATGTTAGGGAAGCATCCGAATGTATTAAAACACTGCAAAAACACATTTGCATTCATCTTTCAAAGACTAAAAAACACTTCTTTATTCTGTTTCTTCTTTGGCGCTTTTTTTGTGGTTGTTTTATATTGTTTTCACCTTAAATGGAACCATCCTAATTCAGTCAGGACTAGAAAACCAAACAATAGCCTCAGGATAGACTTTGCAAAAGAGGAAGCAAAACCGACAGGAGAACGGAGCCAGCTGTGGAAAGCTCAGGCAGCACGGCAGCAGCAAGGCTTGCAAACACACCTAGGCCTGGTCCAGGATAGAGGCCTTAGTCGCCACAGATAAGCTTGGCTTGTCACCACAAAAGGTTGGGCTTGTCTAGGGTGAGGAGTGGTGGGTGCACCCTTCACTCCAGGCTGAAGCTTGCTCATCCCTCTTATTCCATGTGTACCAGTGACTGTTGACTGGTCATTATTTGCAGAGCATGGACACCAAGACACCAAGGAGACACTGACCATGCCCATTAATCTCATTCCCTAGCCATTGTGATCTGACTGACCGTGTCAACCGACATTATGTAAAAACTGAATTAAAATAAGAGGTGGCCCACAGCAGAGAAGCCTCATATGATCTGGATAGAAGGAGAAAGAAGATACCTACCACCATTCCCCCCTGTAGAGAGCATTATGAGACTGAGCTCGAGTCCATGATTAAGATTATGACTGAATTAGAAACAGAGATTGAAAAAGAGACAGGAAGAAAGAAACAGGAGATGGGGAGACATAGGAAAGAACAGGGTCCTAAAATCCATAAGAGGACTTTACAATAGCTGCTCCCTTCCTTTCAGGTCTTCCTTTATTTACTCTCCCTCTGAGTACAGCAGAAAGAATAAGCTCTGGTTCCAGAAGACCTGGGTTCTCACCCAACCTCCAGCCCTCACCTCATTAGCCATGTGACCTATTGATCACAACCTACCTCAGCTCTCAGGGTGCCCGAAACATAGGAAGCACTTAGGAAATTCCTCTTGTATTCTTTTCTTAGCATACTTCATCTCCTTCTCTCTCTTGCCTCTCTGATTCTTACTCATGTTATCATCATTATTCCTCCCTCCTATAGATTAGTTTTTACTTTTTCCATACAATCAGAGATAATCATCAAATGTCAGACTTGAAAAAGAGACTTTTATCCCTAACCTGGTAAAGATATCTATAACCACCTACAGCAAACATGATGATTCACTGTGAACTATTAAATGTTTTCCACTGGACTCAGGAACAAGCAAAAGATGTCTGCCATCATTGCTTCCACTCAACACTGTAGGGAGGCTATCACCTGTGTAATAAGGCAAGAAAATGAAATAAAAGGTACAAATTAAAGAAAGAAAACATCCTTTCATTATTCATAGATGATACGACAGTATGCAAAGAAAATTTAGAAGAACCTAACATAATACCAGCATCAAACAATTAGAAAATTAACTTTTGAAAATTTCACTTAAAATAGCATCAAAAAAGCATCAAACTCCTAGAAATGAACATATTAAAAGATTTCTAAAATCTTTCCACTAAAAATTTCCACTGCTGAAAGAAATTAAGAAAAACCAGTGTCAATATTCTCCAAACCAATCATTGATATAATGTAATCCTAGCCAAAAATCCTAGCAGCCTTTTTTTTGTATGAAAATTGGCAAGCTGATTCTAAAACATATATGGATTTTACATATACATATAATGTAAAGGACCAAGAGCCAAGACAGTCATGAAGAAAACACAAAAAGCTGATGAACTTAAATTACCAAATAATAAAATAGATAATAAAGCTATAGTATGAAGACAGGTAGCACCGGTGTTAGGATAGCAGAAAAAAAAAATGGAACCAAATAGAGAACTCAAAACCTGCCATACACAAGACCCCTGATTTGCAATAAACATACCCTTTCAGTGAATGACAATGGGTCATTTGGAGTTACATATGAGAAAAGGAAATAAATTTGACCCCCTTCTTCACATCAGACACTCAGCACACACAAAAAAAGAAATTCCAGGTGAATCACTGGCCTAAATGTAAAATGTAAAACAAAGCATGTCTGAAGAAAACATAGGAAAGCATCTTCCTGACACAGGAACGAGCAAAGATTTTATAACCTTAAAAGAAAAAACTGAAAAAGTTAACTTCATTAAAATTAAGAGCATCCCATTAATAACAAAGCAAGCCACAAACTGGAAAAAGGTCTGAATAATAAATATAGCAAAGCACTTTAATCCAGAATATAAAGAACTCCTACAAATCCACGTGAAAAACAGATAATATAAAATGGGCGAAATATCTGAATAGGTGTTTCACTAAAGATTATATCCAAATGACCACTAAACATGAAAAATGGTACACATCCATAGTCATCAGATTAAAACCCACATGGCATATACCACTACACATCCACCAGAATGGCTATAATAATTTTTTTAAATTACAAATATCAGGCCTTGGCAAGGAAGTGGCAAAGCAGGAAGTATCATATATTGCTAAAGGGAGTGTAATCAGTGTAACCATTTGAAAAATTGGAAGTATCCACTAAAATCTGTGTTATTATTCAGTTATTCTACCCTTGGATATATATCAAGAGGAAGTAGAGCATATAGCCAGCCACACACACACACACACACACACACACACACACACAAAATGTAAAAAAAGTTGTGATGTAGCCAAAAACTGAAACAATCCAGATATCCCAAACTTTAGAATGGATGAATAATTTGGGTATATTCCTACACTGTAATACTTTACAGAAATAAAAGAAAGCAAACTGAAGCTATATACATCAATATAGCTAAATATCAATATACTTGTATCACTAGGGATAGATCTCACATAGACTTCAGTGAAAAAGGCCAGACACAAAACAGAACATACTATACATATTAGTTGTCTATTACTATTGAATTACACCAACACTTAGTGGCTTAAAACAAGAGACATTTATTGTCTCAACCATTTCTGTGGGTCAGGAATTCTGGTGCACCTTAGCTGAGTCCTCCAGCTCAGGGTGGCTCCCAAGGCTCTGATCAAGGTGTCAGCCAGACTACAGTGATCTCAAGGCTTAGCCAGGGGAAGATTTGCTTCCAGGATCACCCATACGGTTGTCAGGCCAAAGGCCTCAGTTCACCAGATGTTCCCCAGAAGGCACCTCCCAACATGGCAACTTGCTTCACCAGAACAAGAGCCAGAGAAGGACCAGAGAGAATGTAAGGAAAATTCAAGTTAGAGTCTTTTGTAACCTAATCATGGAAGCGATATTCCATCATGTGTATCATACCTTATTCATTAGAAGCAGGTTACATAGGCCAGTCCACATCCAAAGGGAAGATATTATACAAGCGCATGGGTATCAGGAGGCAGAGATTGTTGGGAGCCATCTAAGAAGCTGCCTACAACACTGTATTATTCCATTTATGTGAATTTCAAGAACAGGCAAAATTTGATAGAAATCAAAATATTGATTACTTCCAGGGAGAAAGGCCATACAATGTGAAGGGGTAATGAAGGAGCTTTCTGGAATGCAATGAATACATAGTTCTACAGCTTGACCTCATTTATATGGTGGAGTGACATCAGCGTACTCATATGTAAAAAACTGAAATGAAAATCTGTGGACTCATGGGGCGCCTGGGTGGCTCAGTTGGTTAAGCATCTGACTTCGGCTCAGGTCCCGATCTCATGGCTCATGAGTTTGAGCCCCACATCAGGCTCTGTGCTGACAGCTCAGAGCCTGGAGCCTGCATCAGATTCTATGTCTCCCTCTCTCTCTGCTCCTTACCCTCTCATGTTCTGTCTCTGTCTCTCAAAATTAAATAAACGTTAAAAAAAAAAACTGTGTACTCAGTGCATGTATTTTACACATCAATAAACACATGGGGAGAAAAGTATCTAGCAGCCCCTACCTTCTGCACTTTTATATCCGAGGATACAGAAATATGAACTGAATTCCTAAAGGTCAGAGTAACTTCCCTCACCTGGTCCGTATGTGCCTGTCAATTCACATACACATCTGACTGAATCTCCCCTCTGGTAGTACCGTGTGAAGAGAACCGTTTGCTCTTGGAGGCAGAGGACCACACCTGTTTAATTTGCTCTTATAGCCATAAGGTCAGGGTCACACTTGGGAAACCATCTCTAGGACTTGAGACAGTTCTCAGAAATCAGTTCTATGCTAGGAGTTACACATCCTGGGCCCTTTTCACCTATGGAGACTGCAAATGATGAATAAAAATGCCAATTATCTTGATCCTTCTAATTCAAACTTTGAAACACCTAGATGTGATCTAGGGCATAGTCAAAGTTTTACACTGAGTTCAAAAAGTGTTAACAAATTATTGGAGGAAATACAAACAGTACATTTAACCCACTAAATTATAGTTAACTTTGACAAGATAGGCACGTGGTTAAGATTTTACAGGTGTTAAAAAAAAAAAAAAGGTTAGAGAGGGAGGGATCCAAAACATAAGAGACTCTTAAAAACTGAGAACAAACTGAGGGTTGATGGGGGGTGGGAGGGAATGGGGGGTGGGTGATAGGTATTGAGGAGAGCACCTGTTGGAATGAGCACTGGGTGCTGTATGGAAACCAATTTGACAATAAATTTCGTATTAAAAAAAAAAAAGACTTTACAGGTGTATCTCAGTGAATCTAAACATCCATGCCATGAAATAGGCAATAAGATTCATGCCCATTTTGTAAATGAAGGCATTTACACCTAGAGAATCTAAGTCAATTGCTCAAGATCAGTTAGCAAATAAGAGGCCCAACCAGGATCCAAAACTGTCTCTATCTCACTCCTAAGCCTGGGGTTTTAACTAATTCATTATATGACTCCTCATGCATCCCTTAAAAAAATAAGCCACTTACTAGTTCTGTAATGTGCCAGTCATAAATGGTCCTGATGGAATCAATAAACGGCCCCCTTATCAGTCAGATTGAGACACTCTAGGTCCTAGAAAGAACAAGCTTAGATTGTAAGTGCATTTAATATGGTTTACTAATTAAGAACTGTACCTGTGTGCACACATATGCATACCACATGCACGTGCACATGCGCGTGCGCGCGCGCGCACACACACACACACACACACACACACACACACACCTGTCACAGTAAAGTATAATAGCAGAGCTCCAATCAGTATGATGCTCACCTGAGATGGGTAACCTGGACTTTGGAAGCCAAGTAGGGACTCGTCTACCCTATATCCTAGGAAAGCAATGATGAGAACTGAACTCAAGCAGCAAATACTCCTAAAAGCTCGGCAAGGTGGCACAAATGAAGAGCAGTAGGCTTCACTAGACCCATCTATTGCCCAAGTGAGGCACAAGGATAGGAATGCCCAGAGGTGGCCCATGGCACAGCACCTACAGCTCATAGAAACCTGAAGAGCATTAAGTTACCTGCCACCATCTGACACACTAGGACCAATTCTCCTAACAGAAAATGTTGTTGGACCACATAAATACAATAGGAAATCGCAATCAGCATGAACCACACCAACAACAGCAAACAAGCTACTCAACTAAACATCACTGGTCATTTCACTTGCAAGGGGAATTCTCTCCTAATGCACACTTGTTACTTATTCGTTTATTTAGGAGCCAAAATCTGATAAGTCTATAAGAATATTTTTTAACGGTATAAAATCCAGCCAATTTTTTTTCCTATAAAACGAGCCACTGCATTAATTTTTGCAACAGATCTTCTAGCCTTCTTGGGCAAACCAAGGATGTTTTACACCAGATGAGAGTATCTTCTCTCTCTTGAGGAGTTTACAGTCCAGAGAGAGAGAAGGAGGGGGGATTGGTAGGAAAAAACAGGATCAAGGGAGGAGGACTGGCAGGAATATTTCAGAAAAAGGGAGCAGACAAATGGAGAAGCAGGGTACAGGCACAGGAAAGCAGCTAGGGAAGAGGGTCACAGTCACAGGGCCCAGCAGACAAGATCAGGCAGGTCAGAGCCTCTATGAGCACAGTGCGTTGTGTGTTTAAGCACACACAACTAGATGCAGAGCCGTGTCCCAAATTTAATAATACACAAAAGTCAGTTCCCACTCACTCTCCAATGCCTCCTCACTGAAGCACCATGTTTATTCTCTCCATATCTACCACAATCTTAACTGTATTTTATTTGCTTAATAACTGTGTGCACACACAAAACTGTAAGCCACGTGAGGACACAGACTTGTATGCTCCTACCTCCAACACTCAGCTCTGCCTTTCCAGCTTTGTAACCTTAGGGAGGTTATTTAACCTCTCTGCTCTAATAGTTCACGAACATTTTATGAGAATCAAATGAGAAATACGTATAAAATCTAAGATAGGTCTCATTAAAAGTATTTTCCCTAATACTCAGCAAGAACAAAGAGGCCAGAACCCACATTCCATAACCACTCGTCCTCCTTCTCTTAGGTGAGGTTTATTCTGGCAAGCCATGGTCAGACTCTCCATTCAAGGATCCAGACAGAAAAATCCTACATTCCTGCCACCAAATGGTATTTTGTTGGAATTTCATCCCCCTGGGCAGTCTCATTCCTCTTCTCTCCTCTCTCCCTCCTCCTGCCTGATGCTATGATGCCACAATCCAGCCTCTGTGACTCGGGGGATGTTTCCATGGCGACAAGCAATGATGTCATAAAGGGGGGATTGTTACAGGGTTGAATGAAATCTGGCGCCAGATGCACCCTACCCCCTTATATAAGGCGGGGGGTGGGGTGGGAGACAAACCCTGTGGACACATCCCAGAAAATGGGAAACCGAATCACCCAAGGGATGGCGAGGGCTGACCAGAGGGAGAGAAAGTTCCAATCCCCTCCATACACCAACAGCCCCATTTGGAAAAGAACGGATTTAACAGACCTCACCAAGACAAGAGTCATTTTTCACCAAAGAAAATCAAAGGAACGAACAAGAGGCAATGGCTACCGGAGACTCCACCTTCTGGTCTAGGAAGACCCAAGCAGACAGTGGCTTCATCCATCAAAGCCCCAAGTGTGTCAAATATTGACTGAGGCCACAGACTCTTTCCTACCGGAGCCTTAGACTGTCGTGTGCATCTGACTGCCCCAAAGACAGACCACTGGGACCTTCAGTGCAGCCTGCCTTTTATCGTAAAAAGTCTTAGCCAGAAAAATAGCCACCCCCAGCTTAATTCCTAGAGGAATTCAAACCACTTTGTTAAGAAAATTCCCAGAGGAGATTTTATACGAAGGAGCATCCCACAATGCTGCCTGCCATCTCTAGGTTCTCTAAAAGCAAGCCCAGCCTTGATGAAAAAAGAGTGCCTGACATCAGGGGTGTTTGGCTGGATGGCTGAAGAAAGGAGAACTCTGCCCCGAAGTGCAATGCTCAGATGTACAGAAGCTCCTGTTTAACTGGAAGAACCTGATCGGGTGATCATCGTCCACGGCCAGTTCCTTCTCTATCTCCTGAAATTGTAGATTGAGTGAGTGCCACCAATGGTGAGTGTCAAGGAACGGGTCCTTCTCAATAAAATGTTTCCCTTGGTCCCACAGGAGGCTCTGGGTGCCAATGGTTTTGACAGTGCATAGTTATTTCTTTCTCTAGGCAGCTGCTTTTCCTGAACACTCTGCTCCTGGAGAGTTTGGTCCACAGCAGTAGCTAAATACGTGTGCAGCGTGTACGTCTTCTCATGGCCTTCATCGTTATTTATGAACTAACTTCGAAGGGAAGTCATTTCCATCCAGAAAACCTGACATACGCTTTTCCATACCCACCCATGCATAGAGATAAGAAAACTGTGCTCTTTTACTATTCTGGCAAGCAGGAGGCAACGTTTTCCAGATGCCGTTATGGGCAGCCCCGAGCCATCCACTGCGTATCCCAGAAAGCCAAATGGCCCAAAGCCTCCATTCCTAAGTCACTCTCCAGTCCCCAAACATGTCACAATCTCTCATACCTCCTGACCTTGGCCCAGGCTGCCTCTTGGTAGAATGGCCCCACCCCCACCCTACCCTCACAGCCCCTTCAACCACAAGACCTGGGTCCAGGTCAAATGGCCCAGATCCTCCTCTCTAAATGCTTCCTTCTAAGAAGGAGCCCCTCCCCCTCTACTGTCCATCCCCTCCAGTATTGTGGGGGCTCCCTGAGGGCGAGGACCAGCCCCTATTCACAGTGAATACTGGACTGCATCACATGCCCTGGCATCTGCAGTAGACAGAAGCCAAGACCCTTGTGCCCTGCAAATCTTCACTGCCAGCTTCAGCTCTTCCAAAATAAAAGCTGACTTTTAAAAGTAAGTGTCGGTGACTCAAGTGACTCATTTTATGGACAAGGGGCCCTTAATAAGATGAAACAGAAGCAGTGTGGTCAACTGAGAAGGCCTGGGACCCTGGAGACCCAAACGCTGGCTATGAGCAAACTGTTTATCCTCCCAAAGCTCCAATTTTCTCATCTGTAAAAGCAAGGAACGGTGGAAGTTTGGGCTCAAAGTCCAGTTCTAACATTCTAACTCATTGAAGCAGGATGTGGCATTTTCACATCCCGAAACAGGAGCAAGTTATACTTCAAGGATGATTCCTCAAGGCACTTCCCCGCCCTCCTAGGTTGATATTGTCCCTTTCAGCTGCCCTTAAAACCCCTGTCCTGTTTACTGCTCACAGTGCGCTCCTGGCTGGGGACGGATGACAATTCCCCATGAAGGGCAGACTTTAAAACAAATGGAACTGCAGCCTAGTCAAGCTACCCTTGTTTATGCCTGGTCCCTTAAAGAGAGTCTGCCCCTCCTCTTCCCAAACGCCTCTGAGCCTAACCTTGGCCAGGGTCCCCTCCCCCCAGCCCCCAGGCACCAGCAAAGCTTTTCCTGGGTCCACCTGAGCCTGGCTCATTCCGTTATTTTGCAAACGCATCTCTGTGTACCTGTATATTCTGTCATTCTCCTTGTCCATGACAAATGCCTGGTATAAAAATTACCTTCAGAGATGTGTTAAGTCAGGCAGCAAACACATCCAGAGGCCTGGGGAAGGTGAGAAGGCTGGAGATTGGTGGAGATGGTCTTCATTACTGTGCATCAGGAAAATAAAAGGAGAAAGGGGAGGGGGTGGGCGAGGGGTGTCAGGGTGAAGAAAAAACTACTGGTTCATTCACCAGCAGCGTGCATGTGTTGAAAGTCTATCCTGGTTGCTCAGCAACCAAGAAAAAGCATTTCAGAGAGCAAGGGGCTAATTGGATAAATGAATTAATTAGACATTTCCGGAGTCAGGCGGTAAATGACAGCAGGCGTGGGTGGCCAGATTTTTGGGTTTTTTGTTTGTTTGTGTGTTTGTTCCCTAAAGTGTCTTCCTATCCCTACCTGAGCTTGGGTCCAGCAAATTAGGGAGCTGGAGAGTGTGGGAGCTAGGTAACAATGTGTCAGAGATGCTGTCTGGGAGGGGCAAAGCATGGAGGGCAGGTTGCCTTGGGAAGGAAGTTGCAATAAATGACCTTAGAGGTCTCTTTCAACACTAACATTGGATTGGTTTTGCCAATGCAGGGTAGGGAGGGGGGGAAAAAGGAGTAAATCCCCACCCTGGCAGCCTGATGGTAACTAACAGCCGGCTTTCCCACATCGTCCTGTGGGGTTTCCCTTTGCTGTATTTAAAGCAAGCAGGTTCCCATGAAAGCCAATAGACGCGGGTTGTAGGGAGTGTGCGTGGGAAATAAGATGTTTTGTTGGTGATTGTTTTTTCCCCTTGCTCTGCTTTGCTCCCTCCCGTTGGCTTCCTTTAATTACAGCAGAACCCCACTGGTTGCTCTAATGATGGAGAGGGCCTGTGCAGAGCTCACGGTGGAAGGGAGGGAGTGGGCAGGAGGCCCTCCTGCTGGAGGGGAGGGAGGGCAACCAGGGAGGGGAAGGCAGCCAGCAGCTGCCAGCGCCCCATCTCTGGGAAGGAGAGAGGTTCTGGTTTTGCTGCTGGAAACAATCTACTGGGAGCCTCCAGGGGAGCTGCCACACCTCTCTGAGCCTTTGTTTTCCCTCCCACCAAGAAGGGAGACCGGGTTTCCTGGTGGTTGGAGAAGGATTGATGCCTCTGCTAACTGTATCTCACCCTTGCCCACAATTCCTAAGGGGTGCCCACTGCCAACAAAAATAAAGCCAGCGGGATATGCAATGCCTCCATAATCTGGCCTCACCTCATCCCTCTCTCTCCTGGTTCTCACACACACACACACACACACACACACACACACACTGTTACTTCTCACCTCTGACTCTTTATTCCTCCTGCTCCAGGCCTGGAAACACCAGAACTTCAGAACAAATGCTCAGTGAGGGCTTCTAGAGAACAGGATGGTCTCACTGGGGAAAGGTCCAGGGGTTGGAAATCCATCTCAGCCCTGGTGGGATCAGGAGGTGAACCTCACAATCCTGGGGCCTCACCCTCCTTGCTGGGAGCAGGTGGGGAAGCAGATTGAAGAGAGGCTCTCTGGCCCTGCCTGTAAGGAGCTCTGAAGTCAGCCCAGCCCACATGGGAGTTGTGGCTCTGTCAGTCAGCCGCTGTGTGACCTGAGCCAGGAATGCAACACCTCAGTGCCTTTGTTTCCTCATCCTTACAATGAGGCTCTTAATAGCAGATACTTCAGAAAGGTTAGGATTAAATGAGATGCTGGATGCAGAGGTAACAGGTCAGCCCCTGGCACACAGGGAGAATACACTAAATGTTGTCCATGGTTTTTACAAAATTGCATCATTCTAGAATGAAATAAAAGCCTATCTCCTCACCTCTACCCAGCCATTCGCTCTGGTTCTCTCAGCCCATCCCCACACCCAAACTCTACAACCCCATGATTTTCTAGGTCCTGAATATAGCAGACTCAGCGACCTGACATTTCCAAAGGGCATGTTGTTCTAGTTCATTACCTACTCTGTAGCTTATTAGCCATGTGACCCTGGCAATCTGCAACCTCTCTTCATCACGGTTTCCTCACCTGTAAGCCCCAACTTGTAGCTTATTGGCAGAGGGAAATGAGACGGCAGGTACAACACACCGAACACCCCCTCCTGACATACAGTAGACCCTCGGTGAATTAGATCGCCTCCCCCAAAGGCTTCATTTTGGGTGCCAATGTTGGTTTAACATTTCCATCTCTCTCTATTTACATGTACTTATCTTAGATTTCAAGTTCCCAAAAGACCAGATCAAATCTGAATTGCTCTTTACTCAGCATATGCCACAGCACTGAAGCACAGTTTGGAAGTTGCTCACAATATGTTCTGAACTACTGCAGGATGATATATATTATTTGTAAACACATAAAAGTGCCCACACCACAATGCATAGCTCATCATCATTCACCACGTATAATGACAAAGATAATAATGAATATAGGCGATAACCACTCAACTATGGAGTATGTTTGTTTCCTATCTAAGCTGCATAGAAACAAGTCTGCCATTAAAAAAAAAAGGCTTAGCAGAGGCAAAGTCCCAAGTACAAGACTGCAATGGACATACCCGGCCAGCCTGTCAGTGATCTGGCCTACGGCCCCCATGCCAAGAGGACAAGTTGAGGGTGGAAGAAGGCACAGATCTCTGGGTGCAAGAAGCGTGATTATTTTCATAAATGAAGAACATGGAATGTGAAGGGGGGATTGAAATGCAGCCCATTTCTCAGCTCTGAATATGATAAGCCTTCTCCTCACCCCCAACACCACAGCCCCCTATGGTGGAGGAAAGGAGAAGAGGGGGAGAGGTTAGGGATGGGGCAGGAGAAGGCAGGATCGAGGAACAAACTGGAAGCCCCCTTACCTGCTCAGAGGCTGACAAAGAGAATTGAGAGCAATGGGAAGTTACTGATACATAAACAGAGTTTCTGTCTGGTCAGTGAGAAAGCTCAGGAGAGGGACAGTGGTGACGGTTCTCAGCAATGTGAGTGTAATCAATGCCACTTCAAAGTGGTTCAAATGGCAAATGTTATGTGTTATACACACACACACACATACATACGTGTGTGTGTGTGTGTGTGTGTGTGTGTGTGTGTGTGTGTTTTAGAGAAAGAGAGCATGCAAGCAGGGAAAGCAGCAGAGGGGGAGAAAGACAGAATCCTAAGCAGGCTCCACACTCAGGGAGAAACCTGAACTATGGCTCAATCCCATGACCCTGGGATCATGACCCGAGCCAAAATCAGGAATCAGACACTCACCTGACTGAGCCACCCAGGTGCCCCATCCCCCACTATGTTATATATATTTTTAAATCAATACATAAGATTTAAGGAAGGACAGGGGAGACAGTAGAGCTCTCCCCAATTCCCTGCCTCCTTAACCGAAGAAAACCCAGTATTAGAAGCATGGCCACCAGAGACATAGAAGCCAGCCTTTGGTCACGGCCCTCACTCTCACATCCCAGTGGTGTTCCGAGGCTTAGGGAGGGGTCAGAAAGGAAACAAGCATCTCTGGCTAGAGGGTACCCTCCTCCTGCTGCCGCCCTCTTCCTGCTGCCAGCCCTGAAGGTGGACAAGTTAGACAAATGGGACTGGCTGAGATTTCCGGAGTCCCTACCCCTAAAATGCCTTCTGGGTGTACCATGGAAATGAAATCAGTACCTCAAAGAGATATCTGCACTCCTATGTTCTTTGCAGCATTATCCACAACATGATATTTCATCAACCTAAGTGTCCATCAAAGGACGAATGGATAAAGGAAACGTGGTATATATATACCCACAATGAAATACTGTCCAGCCTTAAAAAGGAAGGAAATCCTGTCATTTGTGATGACGTGGATGAACCTGGAGGACATGATGCTAAGTAAGGCGGGGGCAGAAAGACAAATGCTGCGCGATCTCACGTGCAGTATTTCAAAAAGTCAAATTCATACAAGACGAGAGTAGGAAGGTTGTCAGAGGCTAGGAGGTAGGAGAAAGGGGAGAGGTTGGTCAAAGAGTGCAAAGTTTCAATTATGCAGGATGAATAAGGTCTGGACATCTAATGCCCATCAGTGTGACTGTAGTTAATGATACTATATTACATACTCGAAATCTGCTAAGAGAATAGATCTTAAATGTTCTCTCCACCAAAAAAAGAAAAAGAAAGAAAAAAAGATGGTAACTCTATGAGGTGATATGCTGGCTTGATTGTGGTAATCATTCCACAATGTATACATGTGTCAAAACATCACATTGTACACATTAAATATATGCAATTTGTATTCTTCAATTATATCTCAGTAAAGCTGGCGGGGGGGGGGGAGGAAATAAAATGCAAAGGCCTCAGGAAAGGGAACTGAAGCACTACAGGACTGATGTTAGAACATTTTCCCA